AGTCAGGGTTGGTTAGGGGCGCCTAATGGAACCGTACGGTCGTCTCGCTTTTTCCAGCGAACGCACTTTGCGATCGCGACAGCCCTGGATGCGATTGCGCCAATCCGAGTCCAACATTCACCTGAGGGTTATGGTGCCTTCCCAGAAACTGTGTCAATGGCTTCATATAAAAAAGCTGTAATGATTCGCTATTCGGTGCTTACTTGACTTTGGCCCACTGAAGGTCACGTAACTCTTCCTCTGCATTGATTTCTGGCTTTATGCGATGTATTTCCCGCGCCTCCATGATTTTTCTTTCCAGTGGCCCCACCAAATGTCTGTGGAGTACGCTAACGTCGAAAGAAGGGGCGTGAGGGAGACGGCAAGACCGCTCAAGGTTCGCCTAGATGAGCATAGAAGAGCACTGGCCAATCCTGCTGCCTATCTAGCAGCAGTTTTTCTAACATGAAAGGGAGGACGCCCCTTCTTTCGACGTTAGCGTACTCCGCAGACATTTGCTGGAAAATCATGGAGGCGCGGGAAATACATCGCATAAAGCCAGAAATCAATGCAAAGGAAGAGTTACGTGACCTTCTGAAACTGCTTGCGTAATCAGCGAAGTCCTCAGCTTCAGGGTTGGTGTCTCACTTTTCATTCCCACCCGACCCGGTTAGGTCCCCCAACTCTTCCCTATTCCTGGTATGTATGATGCATGTGTTCTTTGTAATGTAAATAGTTGTTCGCTTGCAATCATTGTGAAGTAAGGTTGGTCTGATGATGGCAATATTGAGCTCACCAGTGAATTATCAGTACAAGAGCTTCAAGAACACTCATCAAGACAATAATGGTTGTATTAAAAACAGCTCACCCAATTCAGCATTCAAATCTTTGTCAAGCACAGAAATTTCTTGTGTGTATGATCCTATAGCAACAATGTGGAAAAGGGAAGTAGAAATATGTAACAAATGTGACCACAAGTGTAATCACCAGACAATCACTGCAAGAAGAGAAGTGCGGTACCCGAACTATGTTAGGCAGTTGTAACACTCTGTGATTTCACGCGCGATTCGCGATTCGCCAATCGCCGAGTATGACCACCGCATTAGATGGTTTTGAAACTCTACAGATTCGCTGACTAGCGCTCGCCATACCTGGCCAGAAACTTTCTGAAGGTCTCAGTATGACCTCTATACAAGGTGGTCACCAACATGTATGACATACAGTATGACATACCTCTATACAAAAGGTGGTCCCCATTACCTACTCCACTCCCACTGTTTCTATTGTTGAGACCCGACACACTCCAGCTTTGCCTTGAAATTTTCAGAAAAAACGCCTCTGAATGAGGGGGAAGGGGGAAAGAGGAGAGAGAATGGAGAAGTGAGGAGAGGACGGGGATAATGAGTATTATTACGTATAAAGTGTTCGGATGGCAGTTGCTGTAAGCTCTTCTCGTTCAATGTACCACTTGTTTGACTATTGAAATTTGCCCTCCTTCTTAATCTAAAAAACGGGTCCTTCTTCTAATACACCGTTCCCTCCAGCTTCGACGAAGTACGGCTCTTTGTTCGGGACTTCCGGAGGGACAGTTAACCTTGGTCAACGCCAAAGCTACGCCACTTGTGGTTGGCTTGAATAGTCCGTACAGACGGTTGACGCAAGTTGGAGGAGTCTAGGACACGCCAATTATCCAACACTGTCATTTGATAGGCGTCCAAAGCATGGTCGGTTGGGCGTTTTCCCACGAGTTATTCAGGACTATTTTATCTACTAATCTTTTGTAAAAAGCTTACAATATGAGGTTGTTGTGGAAGCCGTTTTGTGAACCGAAAAATGTCCAAGCACCTTGACCAAGTTTCAAGGATCGAAACGTCTGCAAGATGGATTTATCAGTCGATATATCCGATATCAACGATTCTCAGTTTATGCCTCGCACTTATCCTAATGCCTCTGAATACTCTAATAAATGCTCAAATCGTACCCCCGTTGCATTTAGGTGAGTTAACTTCTTTGGGAACAGGAATAAGAGCTGCCTAGGAAATTTGCACTGATCCCCTTTTTCCGGATTCGAAATGCCCAAAGAAGGACGCTAAGGATTTGAAAATACCGCTTCGACCGCTTCCATATTTCTTGTTTGAACCACATATGGCCTGCGCTCTGATCCGTTTTGTTCGTTCATTTCATTCTCTGTCCTTCGTGCTCAATCTCTCACTGCCTTGGCGCAGAATGAGTAAAGTCATAATTTACCTGCTTCGACACGATTACATCCCACTTCTACTGCTAGTTCACTTCGTACTTCTAACTTCTCTATTTCTGTGCACAGAATCACACAATTTGATCGGGTTTTGCTTTCAAATGCCCAGGCAATTTTTTTTAAATGCAAGAAATCACTTCACCTACGATGGGGACTTGAAGCCATGCCCCAGGATCACATTGGTGTGGTTCTTGCACACGAGCACGTGCGAATTTTCGGGTGCAAAATGGGCCGGCAAAGCCCAAGGCCGGTAAAGAAAAAAAAGGAAAAGAATCCGTCGAAAACGCTTAGGTTGAGGGCTCACTCACCTTCCTAATCGGCTGTGCTAAGGGAATGAGAGACTAAGCGCGAGAGGAGAGTATGGAGGCGAGAGAGCGCTACAGATGAGAGAGCGCCAGACAACAGCCTGATAAGAGAAAAAATCTGCAGCTTCAGCAGCTTACTTTGCAAGGCCCAAGCGCTCTTGTCGGTTGGTTTCCGTGCACGGAAACGCCACATTTGTGATTGTCCTCAGGGTCTATTCTACAGAGCGAATGGAATCGTTCACACGACTTCTGCCTGGGTTGTGCCTTTAAGTGGCCAAGGAACAAATAGAAGAAGGTTCTGCGAAAAGGAACACTTCGAGTCTAATTCTGACTGATTTTCTGATGGATGTTTCATGAATGCTGCAATTCAAAATTCAGGATGTGTGGATAGAGGGTGGTACTTTTCACTGGAACACCTGTGACCCAAAACATACCATCTGGGTAGTACTCGTGAGTTATTTTGTTCAAAAACTCACCAAGCAGAGCGCGGCAAACCATGGAGATAAACCATAAACGC